CCGCCCCTACCGCCCCCCCCCTGCCTGCCTGATTGCCACTAACTGCCCTCCCCTGCCAGCATGATCTCACCCCCAACAGCCCTCCCCTGCTGGCCTTATCTCGCCCCCAACTTCCCTCCCCTGCTGGCGTGATCTTGCCCCCAGCTGCCCACCCCTGCTGGCCTGATCTTGCCCCCAACTGCCCTCCCCTGCTGGCCTGATTGCCCCTAATGGCCTCTGCCTCAGCCCCCACCAAGATAGCTTTGTCCAGAAGAAAGTCGGGCGTCCAAAAGATGGCCAGTTGACCCGGTCTAATTAACATATTACCCTTTAATTAGTATAGATAGCCAAGATCTGAAAACAGCTTAAGTGCCCATTAATAGATGAGTGGATAAAAAAAACTCTGGTACATTTACATAATGGAATACTGTGTGGCTATAAAAAAGAAAAATCTTACCTTTTGTGACAGCATGGATGAACCTGGAGATTATTATGCTAAGTGAAATAAGCCAGTCAGAGAAAGACAAATACCATATGATCTCATCTAACAAACTGACAAACTGACTAAATAGAAACAGAGGCATAAATACATGGAACATCCTCACAGCTGTTAGAGGGGTACAAGGAGGGCAGAACTGGATGAAAGAAGCTGAAGGGATTAGTGGAAGAACATGTATGCAAAACCCATGGACACAGACAACAGTGTGATGGTGGCCAGAGGGAAGGGGGCAGAGCTGGGTGGTGGTAGGCAAAGAGGGGGGGAGGGGACATGTGCCATAGTGTCAACAACAAAAATAAAGAAAAAAAATGCACACTAAAAAATCTGAGCCAACCCAATCCTATACTCTCAATGTACAACTGAGAAAATTAGTTTTAATGTTTGCATTTTATTATAGACTAGAGGCCCAATGCATGAAATTCCTGCAAGGACCTTGGACCCCCAACCTTCCCCCCCTCCCGCCTCCACTGCAGTTGGGAGCCTCTGCCCACTGCAGCTTTGTCTGGAAGGAGGGATGTCTGGTCTAATTAGCATATTATGCTTTTATTATTATAGATGTGATACTTATACCTGCAGAAAGTTTGGAAGACAAAAAATGTAGAACAAAATAAAATCACCCCCAGCCTTTCCTCCTAGACCTAGAGGCATCCACGACTAAGTCATAGCTTTTCCTCTTACTTTTTGTCTTTGCATTTTTAACACGGTTGTAGTTATACCATAGATCCAACTTTGTCTTGTTTTTAAAGCTTAAATAGATTAGACAAGCTGGTTGTGAAAAATACTGGAGTGGTGGTTTTGTTACAGAGTAGGAAAATTGTTAGGCCTGCTTAATTATCTAGCCACCTCAGCAGCTTGACAGCCTGTGCAAAGTTTCTAGGAACTGAGCTCCCACACCTGAGCTATGGCCCACAAAGAACAAACAGACCAACACTCCTGGGCAACAGGCCCATAAAGAACAGACAGATCAAAATTAAGAATTTGATCTGAATAACAGAAATGAATAACAGGAAGATGTTGTTACCTAGAAATGAATAACAGGAGGAGATGAATAGCTTGGCTAAAACTACGCAATTAGCTTTTGTCACTTGGCTTTGCTTGCTATGGGAACCTGAACACGGATGTAGTTGTCCCCTTTAAATATTGGATTCTGCAGATGGTTGGGGCCGCTTCTGTCTTGGGCTTCCCGAGTGGAGGAGCGGACACTGGCCAGTCAATAAAGGCTCTAAATTTTAATCAGTCTGGAGTTCTGGTCATTCTGTCGCTCACACTTCACAACATTTGGAGGCCTCAGTGAGATAACCGGCCATTGACTGGTCCCATGACCAGAGTCCAGGGAAGACATCCAAACTCCTGGACGTAGGGGGAGATCTCTGAGAGATGTTCCTCAGCCCCGGGCTGATAGAGTTTGGCAGGTCTGTCCAAAAATTGTCTCATTGACTTCAGTTGGAGCCATCTGGATCTGATTCTTACCTGTAGGAAGACTCAATTCTTTTGAGTCCTGATTCTGGTTCTGTGGGCCCTTCAGAGGTCTCCGGAAGGCTGGACGCAGCACTACTTCTGTTGAGACCAGATTCAGGTGCACGACAGTGCCCAGTGATTCTGAGTATGGTTGTTATTTGTCTTGCCTGTGTTTGTTGTTGTGTCCAATTTGTTGTTTGTTTTTTGTCAGAATTTGTCAATCAGCTTCATGTACTGTCTGTACCCCGCTTCAATGTTTTTTGAAAAATTTTCAGGACTTCAAGTGAAGAGCTGAGGGCTACGGAGCCACTGTTAACATTTTTGATTTATGGAAATTCTGTGAGCGTAAATGGCCTATGTTTCCGCAGATGGAGTGGCCTCCTGAGGGGTCGACTGATTTGGGTTTAGCCTATCAGGTCCAGGCTATAATTTTTGGAAAACCCGGGCACCCGGACCAAAGATGTATATTCAGATTTAGATAGATGTCTTAACTGAAAATCCTAGATGGCTCTGGGATTGCCAAAACCCTCAGAAGAGAAAAAGAAATTGGGACAGAGGCAGGCTGTCCTCCTCACTAAACCTTGCAGGGAGGTTGAGAGGAAGTCCCTTGTCCTCCCACCTCCGCCAGAGGAACCCATCCGGCAGAGCCACCCCCATATCTGTGAGCCCCGATGGTGGCTCCACCTGAAGATCCTCTGAGTTCATCTCATACCCGCAGTGGGGCATAGTACTGACCCTCACATTCAGCCCCCTCTCCGGACTCCTCTGGAGCCCTGATGTTGGCTTTGCACCAGGTGGCCACCCCCAAGGGGGAGGAACGGCCTTTTATGGTTTACATCCCTTTTTCAACCAGTGACCTCTACAACTGGAAGAATCAGAATCCCTCTTTTTCTCAGAATCCGCAGGGATTAATCTCCCTCTTGTGGTCTGTCGTTTTCACCCACCAGCCCACTTGGGATGATTGCCAACAGCTCCTCCAGACCCTTTTCACCTCAGAGGAGAGAGAGCGAGTCAGGTCGGAGGGAAGGAAATTGGTTCTTGGCCCCGATGGCCAACCCTCTTCGGAGTCAGCATGGCTCGAGGCTATCTTCCCACTCTCCCGCCCCTTGTGGGACCCCAACACGGAGCGAGGTAAGGAGGTTCTCGATCGGTATCGCCAGACTCTGCTGAGGGGAATCCAAGTGGCTGCGTGGAAACCCACTAATTTGTCTAAGGTAACTGAAACTGTACAGGGCCGAATGAATCTCCTGCCGCTTTTCTAGAGCGCCTGTGTGAGACCTACAGGCTCACTCTCCCGCCCCTCGTGGGACCCCAACACGGAGTTAGGTAAGGAGGCTCTCGATCGGTATCGCCAGATTCTGCTGAGGGGAATCCGAGCGGCTGGGCGGAAACCCACCAATTTGTCTAAGGTACTGAAACTGTACAGGGACCGAATGAATCTCCTGCTGCTTTTCTAGAGCGCCTGTGTGAGGCCTACAGTCTCTACACACCCATAGACCCTGATGCGCCTGAGAATCCGCGGGCAGTTAACATTGCTTTCCTGTCCCAGTCGGCCCCAGACATTAGAAAGAAATTACAAAAGTTAGAAGGCTTTGAGGGAAGAGTGCGGCCGGAATTGGTTGAGGTTGCTCAAAAGGCATTTAACAATAGGGAAGATTCAGAGACTGTACAGACTCGGGCCTGAGAATCCGCGGGCAGTTAACATCGTTTTCGTGTCCCAGTCGGCCCCAGACATTAGAAAGAAAAAAAGTTAGAAGGCTTTGAGGGAAGAGTGCGGTCGGAATTGGTTGAGGTTGCTCAAAAGGCATTTGACAATAGGGAAGATTCAGAGACTGTACAGACTCGGAAAATGGCAAAGGTCTTGGTAACTGCCATCCAAGAGGAAAGAGGACAGGCACCCAAGACGCTCTGATTTAGGGAAGGAAAAGGGCCATTGGAAGAAAGCCACCGCAGCAGCTTGACAGCCTGTGCGAAGTTTCTAGGAACTGAGCTCCCACACCTGAGCTATGGCCCACTCTGATTTAGGGAAGGGCGAGTGTGCGCACTGCAAGGAAAAGGGCCATTGGAAGAAACACTGTCCAAGAAAGCCTCAGCAGCGCCCGACCCAGGTACTAGTTGAAGAAGTAGACTAACAGGGCCGGGGCTCCATCCCTATTAGCCCCCAGGAGCCCAGGGTCATCTTAAAATTTGGGGGCAAAGCCGTGGACTTCCTTGTGGACACCGGAGCTACTTTGTCCTACAGCAGGCGGAGGGCCCGGTGTCCAAAGAACGAACTCCCATTCAGGGAGCCACATGAAAGACTAAACCTTACCCATGGAACCAGGTCCGAATTACCAACCTGGGGGCCGGGACGGTGACCCACTCATTCTTTGTGATGCCGGAGTGCCAAATTGTCATCTGTCTGGAGCTCTGGTCATTCTGTCGCTCGCTCTCCATAACATTGTCTGGACTCCTTGAGCCCCACACTCATTCTTTGTGATGCCGGAGTGCCCGTACCCGCTACTGGGACGGGACCTTCTCCGTAAACTGCAGGCTACCATCTCCTCCCCAAGGACAGCTCTTTGCAGCACAAGCAGCTAATGGTGAGCAGAACGTCTGGCAGGAAAACTAAGCAGCGAGCTCGTGGGCGATCTGGGCCGAGAACTTGGGGCTCCGGGCCTCAGCTCCTGGCTCCAGGGGTGCGGGGTGCCGGGGAGCTGGAGGCCTGTCACCACTTCAAAGCGCTGCTCGCCCAGGGAACAGCACGGGGCAGCAGGGCTGCTGGGTGGTGGAGCTGCGGGGCAGGACAGGGCGGGGAGACCCCAGTCAGGGTGGGAGTCCTGAACTGGCCTGTGGGGCCTGGAAATGGCTTGTCACCACTTCAAAGCGCTGTGCCGAGAACTTGGGGCTCCGGGCCTCAGCTCCTGGCTCCAGGAGTGCGGGGTGCCGGGGAGCTGGACGACACCACCCCTCCTGCCCAAGGCCATCAGTTTTGTTTGTTTTCTTTCTTCCTTCTCCTTAAGCTCTGCGCCCTCCCGGCCCCTCTGATCACCACTTTCTGCCCGCGCCTCCAAGCAGCACCCGACTCCACTTCCTCCAGATCTCGCCCTTTGCCAACAGCAGCTGGACGCGCACCGACGGCTCCGCCTGGCTGGGGGCGCTGCAGACCCACTCTTGGAGCGATGGCTCAGACATACACTTCCTGAGACCCTGGTCCCAGGGCAAGTTAAGCGACCACCAGTGGGAGCAGCTGCAGCAAGTGTTCTGGGTGTACCGGAGCAGCTTCAACAGGGAAATCCGGGGATTCGCCAAAATGCTGCACGTGGACTGTGAGCTGAGGGATGGGTCCCCGGGCAGCTGTCCCTGGGGAGACAGCGGAGGCAGAGGCCCAGCTGGGAGACTCTGGCCTCACGGGATGGGATGTTCTCATTTGCCCCCCTGCCAGGAAGGTCCCAGCCCCTGACACCCCAAAATATCCCTGGTTCCTCCTGCCCTGGGTCACCCCCTCTCATTTCCCGGAGCTTTGGGTGGTATAGCCCTCACATCCATGTCTTCTTCGGTTGTTCCCACCCGGTAAGCCGTTTGATCTCCGTCCCTTCCTCTCCTCAGATCCCTTTGTGGTCCAGGTGTCCGCTGGGTGTGAGGTGCACCCTGGAAGCCCCCCAAAAAGCTTCTTCCACTCAGCATTTCAAGGAAGCAATTTATTGAGTTTCCAGGGAACTTCTTGGGTGCCAGCCCCCGATGCCCCACATGGGGCCGAGGTGGTCAGCAACGAGCTCAACAAGGACCAATACATCAGGGACACATTAGAGTGGCTCCTCAGTGACATTTGCCCCCAATTAGTCACGGGCCTCCTTGAAGCAGGACAGCAGGATCTGGAGAAGCAAGGTCAGCTTGCATGTCTCCCTTCCCCCTACTTCCCTCCTCTGTGGGGGGCTCCATCTGGGTTTTCCATTCTAGGGATTCCATTCCTTTGCGCCTTGGAAGAGAAAGGCTCAGGAGGGGATGGCCAAGGCCTGAGGGCATTATTCACTCCATAGTATTCACTGAGCCACCTTTGGGTTTGTGAGTTCAGTTAAATAAGCTCTGGGGTCAAACAGGATCTTTGCTTGAGGGGGAGGATGGGAAGACAAGCAGTAAAGCAGTGTGTGAAACTTGGATATGTTACAGCTGAGCACAGGGCGCTCTAGGAGAGTAGCTCCAGGAGTGTAGCCAGGGGCGTTTACAGGAGACTGGGTCAGGCACACACTAGCACAAATGGATGAAGTGAATGGAGCCTTTGTTTCCTGCGGGGGGACTGTGGGGTGCCTGAGTCAGCCACGGGGCCGGAGCTTCTAATGCAGAGGCCCCACTCCCTTGTTGGATACAGTGAAGCCCGAGGCCTGGCTGTCCAGTGGCCCCCCGCCTGGCCCTGGCCGTCTGCTGCTGGTGTGCCACGTCTCAGGATTCTACCCAGAGCCTGTGTGGGTGAGGTGGATGCGGGGGCAGCAGGAGCAGCCGGGCGCTCAGCAAGGGGACGTCCTGCCCAATGCTGATGAGACCTGGTATCTCCGAGTGACCCTGGACGTGACTGCTGGGGAGGCAGCTGGCCTGACCTGCCGAGTGAGACACAGCAGCCTCGGAGGCCAGGACATCGTCCTCTACTGGGGTGAGAACTAGGGCCCCGCGGGGAGGGGATGTGGTTCTGAA